GTGTCTGAGAAGGAGAAGCTGCTGAGTGAGAGGAACCAGCTACAGGTCTGCATGTCCGAGCTCTGGCAGAACCTCTCCTTCCTCTCGCAGCAGGTGTGCAGAGAGGTCCAAACCAACCAGACTCCGCACGCCTCCGCCACTATCGACCTCACCTCAGATTGTCCGGACCAGGACCCCGTGAAACCCAGATCCGGCATGGTTGGCGAGAACTCTGAGGAGCTGGAGAGCAGACGGAAAGTCCAGGACGTATTCGGTCGGAAGGGGCAGAACTCAGACGGTCCAGTGGTTCTGGAATCCAGGGAGGAATTGTGTAGCCCCACAGTGACAGTGGACTTCTGTCAGGAGATGACTGTGAAGTGCACAACGGAAGAACCGGACACGCAGGACTCGTCTTGAGCAGAACCGGTTTGTTTACCTGTCTGACACACCTATGATCTCATCAGTACTAACAGAGGTGGGCATTTTTTTTATTTGGACAGGTAAGAACGAGCAAGTTGGCAGCTTGTTTCCTCTTTTTAAACGATCCATTCTCCCGTTTATCACGTTTTTTTCTCAGGAAATGTACAAACTGTTCAGTTTTCTCCTCCTTAACTTCTCTTTAAGTATTACAAAAATAAGTGTAACTGGTTCTAAAAAGGAGAAGAAGCCTCAGAGCTGCATGTAGGTCTAAAAAAGAAAACCAGTTTAAAACCAGTGAGAGCTGCTGCTTACAAAATGATTCAACTTTGACCTGCTGATGTCTGGCAAAGAGGTTCCAGCATTTGGTGGAGCTGTTTTCTTGGAAAACATGGAAGTACTGATGTATACGCTGCAAAAACACAACATTTTACCAGGTATTTTGGTCTAGTTTTTAGTACAAATACTTTATTACAAGTAAGATAAGATAAAACTAACTTACAAGTAACATTTTCAGCAGAGAATATGTAAGTAATTCATTGAAGTTGATGGAAAAAGTTCAAGTAGATTTTTTCACTTATAACAATATATTTCCCCCATGTTATAAATTAAATAATCTACCAGTGGAAATAGTAGTTTTTCCATCAACATTAAGGAATTATTTGCCTAAACAAGCTCCTGTTGTTGATGAAAAGTTACTTGTAAGTTAGTTTTATCATGCATAATGAGGTAGACAAAAAATCTTGGTAAGATTTTGTGTTTTTGCAGTGATATTTGCACAATAGATTCAATCAAATTGTATTTGTAAACAGACCAATTTAAACTGATCAAAAATCAGTTTACTTTTCATTATTGTTAAATATTTTTCATGAATTACAGAGTTTGAAAATGCAAATTTTGGTCTGTAACTTCATCCCAATTTGGAACAAAAGGTTCTTATAAAATATGACTCTTCAAACTTTTGGGTGACCTTCTGATGGCAGATATCATTATTATTAAGGTGATATTTAAAAGATTCCTACAGTAGAATATGTATATTATAAAAAGTCTGTATGACTTGAGAATTTGTCCCTTGAGCAGCATACAAACAACTGAGATGATCATCACCTATGAAAACAATAATCATTTCATCAAACTTAAGTGTAAATTATCAAAAAACGAACAATAAAAACAATAAATCTGTAAAAACAAAAGACTAATGTGAAAGTATATCGCAAAAGAAAACTCCCAAATTAAAAGATTCAACAACAGAACAACATGGAGTCGTCTTGAAGATTGTTAGCCAAAATGGCTACTTTGGCCATTATGGCGAAAGTCGCCATGTTTGGCCGTAACGGACGCCACCATGTTTGAAAGTAACGGGAAAAAAAATCAGCAAAACCATCACAATCTTCACACACCAGCTGCTTAGCACGGTGGTGGAGCGCGGATGACATCTAAATGTTGGTTCAAGCTCGATTTTAGGCGTTAACACAGTCGGATAATCTACAAAAACAACAACAACAACAACAACAACAACAAAAAAAACGGCTGAAACAGAGGAACGACAGCGTTGCCACGGCAACAGCTGTGGGTCGCCCCCCGCAACTGACCCCAACGCAGTCGGTTTACATCCCGGCTCGGTGTTTTCAGTTTCTCACTTCAGTTCACTCTCGTCTGTCCAGTTTGAAAATCAATGTGTGCATCACGGCGGTCAAATTGTTTTACAAACTGCCGCTGTTTATTGGGACTTCCTGGGAAATGGCGGTTACCTAGAAAACGGTCAGGATGGCGTTTCAACGACACAAAGGACTTTGGCGGGAAATCACGTTTTTATTTTTATTTTTTATTTTTCTGTTTAGTGAAGCAGTTGTTGTAGTTTTGACAGGAAGCATGAAAATCAAGCCTCTAAACGAAATAATTTGATTCCTGATCGCTCCGATCATCAAGCACATCCTGTTTTTAGTAGACTCTCACTGCTGCCCCCTGCTGGAAACAGCATTACACATATTGTCATGTCATCAATTTCCTAAAAAACAAACAAACAACAACAACAACATAAAAAAAACAGTCATCTTTTGCGAAGTGATTTATCTGAAAAAAAAAATCCAAATCATCTTTTGTGATTTTTAAAAATGTATTTATTTTTTAAATCACTTCTGGCAAAAAATGACTTAGGCCACATATTTTGGGAAGGTGACACAATTCACTCTAATTTGTAAGGAAATATCAATGCAGAATAAGATTCAACCAGACTCAAAATGCATGGATGGATTTATGTTTTTACTTGTTTTATTTTAACGTGTCTATTAGGGTTTTGCTAATGTATTTTTAAGATTTGATAGTTAAGCTGCAGTTTAACATTCTTATTAAAAAAAGTTTGCCCTGTGTTTCAGGGAAAACATCAGACTTCAAAAACACAACTAATACCTTCATGATGAGCTTAGATATTTGAGTTTTGCTGGAACTCCCCTTGTTTTCACAGCCAGAATTTATGTAAATATCTGTAGAAAGAAGATTTGCGTAATTAGTGCAGGTTGGATTTGTTAGGATTAGGATTAACTCATTCAGGAATTCAGGTATATTCTTTCACCAGAGTAGATGTTTCTGCTCCTGCTCCCAGTTTCTGCAGCAGCTGCTAAAATAGAGCCCAAACGCCCTGCTCTCCATGTCTGTGCAACTTTAAAATTCACATATCATGTAAATTTGTCAAGGCGGTGATCAATTTGTCCTTACACACCAGTTTGTTCTTTAAATAAACACTGTGGTACAGTATTGATCGTTGGGATGCCAAATTCATGTGTTGAAAAGTCGATGCGGGAGCACGTGGCTGCACAGAGTGCTGCTGCTGTTTGATTCAGCCTCCAACGTGTTGCAGCGCTGCAGTTGGCCTCCTGTTGTCCACAGTAGGGTCACAGGGTCACTGTGGACACCCACCCACAACTGGAGATGTTTACAACGGTGGTAAACATTTGAAGCTGCTGTATTCACCCCGATTTATTTATCTGGGTTCTTTGCAGATCAAATTCTTGTTAATCTGGACTTATTTATTTGTTGTAATATTTGACCTCCTCCTACCCTGACTATTACACAACAACATATTAGGGCCTTCGCAAATAGAAAAAAGAAAAAAATAGAAATTTCTGCCAAAAACTTCCGAAAAATTTTAATTGATATTAGAAATATTCTGGAAAAAAGCTTGGAAACACTTGATATTTAAAAGTTGAAAGTTTACTAGAAAAAACATTGAGAAATGTTAAGGTGAATCTGGGAAATTTTCTAGAAAAATACAGAAAATTTCTTAGTTCCAAATTTAAAACATTTTTCCAGAATAACTAAACTTTTTAGATAAAAAAAACTTGGAAATGTTTGAGCTCCAAAGGTTTAAAATTTGTACAAAAAATAAGAAATCTTTTAGATTAATATAGAAAATTTTCTAGAAAATACTTACAAATTCCAGTTTCAGAAAAAAAAAATCTTAGACTATTTAAAATAATCCAAAAAAAATCAGTTTTTTTCTTGCAAATGTTCAACTTTTGAAACTCAAAAATGTCCAAGATTTATTTTTTAATATTAATTTACTTCTCCTTTTTTCTGTCTATAATGGCCCTAATATGCTGTCTTCTCTATTTTTTTTCTTCTGTAACATATAATTCAGGCTAAATTTTGTTTATTTTAAAATACACAATGTTTTGATAACATTTTGAGAAAAAATACTAAAGTCATTTGATCAAACAACTTTGCATGTATAGGTGGTTGAAAATGGGCTAAAAATTGGTCCAAATGTCATTATTGGCTAGTTAAATAATAACCCTGAGGCAGCAGCATAAACAGGTTTGGTTCTGAGCAACTCTGGGTAAAAAGCAGAACCAATACGAGTCCTAAATATGTTTTGCAATTTCTACTAATTTCCATAATGCCTATTGAAGACCCAGGTTATCTTTTATAGATACTGTTGATAAGTTGCCAAAATAAGTTGCACACAATGAACCCACATGGATTCTGAGCAAATTCCACTTACATCCCACATCAAAATGTTGGCTAGTTATTTTTCTTGCTTCAGGAGGAGTTCCTAAAATAAAATTATACCAATGTACATTTTGACTTTAGTCCATAAACATTGAGTTTCTGGATTGAGATGCAGTTCGGTTATTGAGTTGAACATTCTGCAGCAGCATCGGCCGTTCAGGAGAACTTTTGGGACATTTGGACTTGATACCAGATAAAAAAAACAAAACGAGAAGAATCCATGTTTGGATTTTCAGCATTTCTCCTTTGCAACAGACTCTGTGTTTCTAACTTTTTACTCTGCGTACTTCTTTGTAGGATTTGTGGACCATTTTTACCTGTTTTGTGTAACTGTTAACCGATGACTGTTATTTGCAACTTTTCTTTTTAAGTCTCTGAATGAGGTTTCTCTGGCTTTTGTAAAAACTGAACAACATGTCACATCCCATTTATTTGATAAGAAAAAAAAGGTCTGACAGGAACAAAAAAAAATTGTTTTTGTAGAGAAATAAAAGCATGAGGACTGTTGATGGTGTTTTCTGGTTAAATATGTTCAAGTGGTTCTGTTCTTGTTTTAAATCTGAATGAACTGCAGGGGTTTTCATATAAATGACTTTACACAGACTGAATCTGTCCTTGACGTAAAAACTCAGAGTTACAGAATCAAGCAGATCCTCTTTAAGCCCGATCCTGTTGGCAGTGAAACAGTCCGGCAGACTTCGTGAGGTACTTTGAATCATCCGCTGCCTCATCATGGCTGATCCTGGCCGCATGGGACTCGCTCTGAGAATCGATGGATCACTGATACAGTTTGTCTCCGGCTGCTGTAACTCAGCCTTGTCTCTTCACTTCTTCATGATTGAGGAAATGTCCAGAAACATGCTCTGAAAGAGGCAAACGCATTGGATGTTACACCACACCAGCAAACTTATCAGATCACTTTCTGGTAAACATGTTACGGGACTAATTCATGCATGTGGTGATGAGCGGTAATTGAGTGTATGAAGCCCCAAGCCAACTATGTGCTTCTTCTGCACCATCCCATCATCACTAAGTCACAAAAGACCAAGACATTTGAACTCTTCTGATTGAAGCAGAGACTAATCTCTGATTTTTATCTCAATGTTCCCAGTTTTTAACTTTTTCTGTTTGAGAACTGACAGCTTGCCTCTGTTCCCCGAGGCATGCTCTTAATCTGGTGTTTTATGTAAAAGAAATATCTAAAACATGCAGGACAGTGCGTCTTGAGGACCAGGATTGGGAAACTTGGGCTATAAGGTGGTTAGCCTCCCGTCTTAAGCTGTTATAGTTATCAGTAAATAAAATCAATCAAGAGGCAAAAGCAAAATGTAGTAATTACCCCGATGTTTTACTCCTAGTTAGTTTTTGCATCACAGATTACAAATCTATACCAGAGATTCTTTGAGACCAGATTCTACCAAAATGTTGGATCAGTACCATCTTGAAGGAAGCAGATAATTCTCATACAAGAGAATGATATTTGAGCTTTACGCTGAACTGTCAGGCTGAGAGCCACTGTCTTTCCTTAATTGGTTGTTCTCTGTGTGAATGAAATGCTCTTACAAAACCCTGACTTATTTTAAAAAGCTAGATTGTCTCTTCTCTCGTCTTTTTTGACTTAAAAGAAAAAAAGATCATTTCTGTACCTTTACTCACTACCATCAGAGTTAGTCACTGGTTGAACCATGGTATATCTGGATGAATGATTTAAGAAGCTCTTAAACATCAACAGCCGTCAAAGTAAAAATACTCTATCCTCTACAGTGGACAGTAATCATGGAGGTTAGGGACCACAAACACCCTGAAATAGCTAAAATGTGACTATAGCTGCCTGTTTTTGATTGTAAAACATGAAATATACCTTGATTTACTTTAATGCACACCATGGAAACAACAAAAACTAGTATTTGCCGACTTCCTTCATGACGCTCTTGGCGGTACAGTCAATCAGTGCAAAGGAAGAAGCAACATGCTCTTTCATTGGCTTCTTTGCTAATGCTAGCTATTAGCCTGCCAAATAGCATTGTGTCTTTGTATTTCAACTTCTGAAACTGCATTTTCAGAGCACATTTTTGATATGCTTTTCAGAAAACCAGCCAGTAGGCAAGGGTCCACTAATTTCACAGATTGAGCGTTATCTGAACCTTTTGCATCTCTGCTTACCATTGACATTCGCCGGCCTCCTGCTGGCGGCATCATCGGCATGTCTCCCTGGAGAGATCCCAGTTCATCGGACTCCTCCGAGCTGTGCAACGATTGGCTGGTGGAGGCGCTCATGGAGGACAGGCTTTCAGACGGAGGCCTGATCATGAAGCTGGTCCTTCTGGGGTTTGGAATCAGGAAGTCGCTGACCGCAGACTGTCGTCTTTCTTCTTCATTGATGGCTCTGATGGCTGCAGGCCTTATGGTGCTCCCGGACAGCACAGGGTCCAAATGGCTGGGCTGAGGATGCTGCTCCTCCTGGATTCCTGCTTGGCTGGTTGTGTCCTCCTCCACTGTGGACATGGCAGAGTTCCATGCTGGATGATGGTCCAGGGTCACTGTGTGGACCTCTGGACCTTCAGTGGTTTGTGGAGTTGCACAGATCTCTACAGACCTGGGTGTCATCCTTGCTGGAGGGCAGCAGTAGCCGCTTTGACCCAGATGAACCAAGCTGTTGTGTCTCGGCGGATCGTGGATCGTGTAATGAAGAGGCTTCATGTCAGCCTCCTGAATCACCTTGAAGGTCTGAGTCAGAGGCCCATTGTGAGGGGAAATGTTGCTCATGACACAGAGCTGTTGTAAGGACGCCTTCTTCTTGGATCTGTAGATCAGACTGTCGTCTTCAGTGTACCTCTCTCCATACAGAGTCTGTTTGATTTTACGGACGCCTAAGTGGAGAATCTCCAAAATGTTCAAGAAGAGCGAAACTCCAGCAATGATGGTCATAAAAAACATGAAGATGGACTTTTCTGTGGGCCTGGAAATGTAGCAGTCCACACTGTTGGGGCATGGTAGCCTCTCACACCTGTACAGGGGCTCCAGATGGATTCCATACAGGATATACTGACCCAGGATGAAGCAAACCTCCACCAGAGAGCGAGTAAGGATATGGATGATGTAGGTTCTCAGCAGAGAGCCTCTAAGAGGAGCCTTCTTCACCTTCTTCTGCTCCTCCAGCTTCCTCAGCTCCTTCTCTATGCGTTTGTGATCCTCCAGTCCAAGTTCTGCCTCGTCCATCTCCCCCTTCAGTTGGATCCGCCGCCGGTGGCGCTCCTTCTCCAGCGACCTGATGCAGTACAGAGCATGGCCCATGTAGACCAGAGAGGGCGCAGACACAAAGATGACCTGCAGCACCCAGTAGCGAATGAGGGAAATGGGGAAGGCCCGGTCGTAGCAGACCGCCTTGCAGCCTGGTTGGTCCGTGTTGCAGACGAACTCTGACTGCTCGTCATCCCAGACATCCTCAGCCGCAGCTCCCAGGATCAGCATGCGGAAGATGAAGAGGATGGTGAGCCAGATCTTCCCTACGATGGTGGAATGAATGTGGACCTCTTCTAGGATGCTGCCCAGCAGGTTCCAGTCACCCATGGTCAGATTTTCACCACTTTAAAGCCACATAGTCAAACTGAGGACACACAAACGCAGCTCGTTAGATTCAAATAGAGGTCCAGGCTCATTTTAGTAAAACAAACTAAAGCTGTAATATGTAACTTTAGTTAAAAATATTTTTTGCATGCTTCTCCCAGTAATCCCAGTGTCAACTAGAAACAACTAATCAGATCCAGAAGCAGATCTTAGTGCTCTACCCTTGGTCTCTGCTTTGCTACCTATTGTGAATGCTATTTGTTAGCGTAGCCACTGAGATAACGGCGAATAAATAGTTGGTGTGTTGTTTTTCTACCATTAGCACACTGAGCAGATAATCTAAAGGATTATTGACTTCTTCACCTTCTGATTTTAGTTGAGTTCAGAGCATTTTTTGCAGCAGTGTCCTCATCTTCCATCCAGCTTTTTAAAAGTGCCCACTTTGAAAAACATTGCTTTAAAGAATGACATGCAGTAAAACACATGTTTTTATTTCTTATGGTTACATATTTAGAAATCCTGCAGAATTTCATCACTCTTCAGAGCGTTTGTAGTTTTATTTCCAAGTCAAAAGAATTGCAAGACAATTATGCTTTTTATTTTTCACATACATTTAAGCCCAACCTTATTTATGCAGATTTAGATTCTGCCTTATCTTGTTTCCTCTGACTGGAAATAAAATTAACATTTTGGAGTGGCCTTGCAAAAGTCCTGCCTTAAATCTGTGGTATAACTCGTGAAAATACCTGTGGACGTTTGCAAAAAGCAGATCAGCAATTATAAGAAGTCTTAATGACAGTAAAGAATTTCCATTTATTATTGAAAAAAAAATAATTTCCAACAGATAAAAATGTATTTTTCTCGATATTTTTAAAAAATATATTGTTTACAAAATACCTTTACATTGTCTTTGGGATGCACTGATATGAAAAGTCGGACCAATATGTTGCTGTTGTGGTGGATACTTGATATTTAGCAATATTAAATATATTTTCATACCTTTCTGACAGCATTAAAAATACCACACCAATGACTTTTGCCTCTCTGCTTCAGTGAAACATCCCACAATCCTTTGCTGCATCATTACTACTGTAACATGAGCAAACAAATACTATGATTCACTAATATTGATAATAATGTGAATATATTGGGGATTCCCACATTGTTTTGTCTTGTTTCTAGTCAGAAAAAACAATTTGATTGAATCAACTTAAATAAGTCTTAACTGTATTTATCAGAACTGGATAAAAACAAAATTTACCAACATGATTAGAGGTAAACACTGAGGTGTTGTTGGTATATTTGATCTGCTGAAGGGGCAAAACTACCTTCTTTTTAATAGATTTTGGCAAAAATCAGATAAAATGACTGCTGGTGAATAAATATCCCATCATCTGCTGTGTTGATGGCTGGTTTGGCACCACATAGGAAAGCACTGCCATCACAGGATAGAGGCGATCACTTTGAACAGCACTGTATTGATGTGCAGTGACCTTCCCTTTAAGGCCACAGCTGGATACAAACCATGTCGGTCAAATTTCCCCTCTGAGTCCCTCCCAAATTTCCCCTCTGAGTCCCTCCCTGGCTGCTGCAGCGGTCCAGGACTTTCCTATCGGGTCTCCTCAGTTCACAGCTTCTGAACAAATTATTTTACCAGATCATATCAGAAATAACGCTTCAAAAATGATCATATGTGTTGCACTTCACATTTTTGTCATGTTTCAAGGATGTTATTTTACAGACAGTAATATTTTATATAATTTTGATGTATGAGGAAAATAGTTCAAAATGTGGATGCATGTTGAGCCTATCTGAGTCAGGACCTCAGAAACAGTTTTTCTTGAGAGATCTAAGAATTTTTGTCCATTCCTCTTTGTAAAGCAGCTCACATTCAGTCAGATAAGTGAATAAAATACATAATTTATTTTTTCATACATCCACCGCTCTCAGACATAAATTACAACCAGATAGTTAACAGAAAATAAGCAATATTGTTTAGACAAATCTCAAAGAAAAGCATGCTTGGCTACAGATGTCGGGAGGGCGATTGGTCTGATGATTAATCGATTAATCTGAAGTTTAACCGTTAACCATTTAATACCTTTTTATGCAATATTGGGAATACATTAAAAAATACAAATAAAGAAATAATTCAATTCCATTTTTTGAATAAGAAAATAATTATTTTATCAACTAAAATGCTGTAGCATAGAATTTCTTTGGGGAATTTGGAATTCGTCTCGGCCCTAATCCTGACCATGCAGATGTTTTCTGCACCTACTTTCCTGTTTTTAAAATATTTGCAAACAATAAAAATGTGTATTGGACCGGTTGTTTTGGGTGATAGTGATAGAAGAGTTATATGTTCGTTGAAAACAACAAGATATTTCCAAATTTAATAGTCCAACTTGTCCAGTTGAAGAGAGTTTTGTTTCTTAACCAGTTTGTAAGAAACAAAATTTCATTATATCATTCTAACACATAAATATGCTTTGATTCTCAATGGATCTTCGCCCAGGATTGTTGTTTATTTAGTTTGTTTTATTTAGTTTGTTTAGGTGAACCATCATTTGCAGTTGTGTCACATTCTTTCAGTTGTTGCTTGGAATATTGTTTTTTCAACAAACTTGCTCCAAGCATCTCTTAGAAAAGCTCTGAGATACACACAGCTGGAGTCTGTTTACTGAACTGATGACTTCTACGTGTTGAACAAAATAAAAACATGCATCTAAAATGTGGGGAAGCTTCAGAAAGCATGAATATCTGTAGTCTTCAGTGGAGCATCTTAGACCTCTGGCATCATTTAAATTAAACACTTTTTAAGCAAATAACTTTTTACTTGTAACATGGATTGGATTAATGGCACTTGAAGAAAAATATTTGAACAGATGGCAAAAATATGGCTGTTAAATAATCACATGTGCACTTAATATTGATTGCGGCAAATAAATTGTTTTACAAATTGTTTGTAGTTTGATTTGCTTTGCTTTAGTGAGATCTGAGAAGTGACTTATCAGATATGAATATAATTAATCACAATTTCTCATCTATTAAGCCATTCTTGATTATATCAATCTACAATTAGCAGGTGAAAATTAGCATTTTTTGCTGTTACCTGGTACCATTGCTGTATAAAAGGTCAATGAAATGCTGTATATTGTCTCTTTGTAAATAAATAAATGGCATGAAATTCTTTTCTGTAGCATAGATAGATACCCTCAAATATTTAAAATACTTTTTTAGATGAGTGTTTTAAAAAGAGTCATGAGTGTAAAAGACCAAATCTTGATTAAAAGCATCACATCTGAAGGCTTTTGGTTTGAGATAAAGGTGAGGGGAAGCCGTCCAGGTGAACCTCTGCTGGGGAAACCATTGACAGATCACTTGTTGGACAGTTTGAGGGGGTCGACCTTCATAGTTGAGCTGCGGGCTGGATGTTATATAACCTGCTGCTGCTCAGTTTCACCAACAGGAGCTTCGGTTTGGCTCAGTTTATTTTACTTTCATTGGAAAATGCTGCAGCTTCTGGTTCAGCTTCAAAGATCCAAAAAAACAAACAACCAAAACCTGAAAGTAAATTCAGAAGATTTGTTGTTTCTAAATCCCAATGCAATGGAAAATGCTTTCTCAAAATTCTTTATTTAAATGTTTGCAGTTTGTCTTAAGTTTTCTCAAATGATATAAAAGGAATTTGCTGCAGTGTTTTGTCCCTGAGGGCCACCGCAGTATGAGCTTTGTTTGGGCAGTGGATGGTCAGTGGTTGAACTAAGACGCTGCAACAGTTGGAAGAAAATATCAAAACCTTTTTTAAAAAAACAGGAATCGGCACCTCAGTGTTCACTTTGTCTTCTCTGCTTCCTCTAAACATCGAACATCACAACTTGACACAAACATGCAAACAGCAGCTTACATCTCACAGGTCCTCTGTCCCTCTGGGCCTCCATGTGAATGGCTTCGTGTTAGTAATTCCTGGGAAAACGCCGATTAGGGATGCTTCTACCCCATGGGGCTGCTCGGTTCTCCCTGGGTTCTAATCCCGAGCGGCCGTGCCGTTCCCTCCGCTGTGCAGCTGTGTGTCTGTGTGTGTTGGGAACGCTCTGCCGTGTTACATGCAGGGTTCACAGGATGTGAGCATTGATCAGCTACTGCCGGGTCTCTGCCCCCACCCTGCTCCCATGGTCGGGGTGCCAACTCCAGTCCGGATCGTCATATGGGCCTGAGAGACACTGAAGTACGTTTTTCACTCGCATCTTGGAGATTCGCCTCAGCCAGGTGAAGTTCTGAGCTCAGATTTAATCTCAGTGACAAGAAATATGAAAAAACTGCAAAAACACAAAATATTACCAAGTATTTTTGTACTACAAATATCTTGTAACAATTGGAATAAAAAAAAAACTAACTCACAGTGAGTTATTTAGCAAGATAGATACAAAAAGTATTTGTTGAACTGGCAGAATATTTCACTTGACATTTTCATTTCGGGTCATGTCAGAAATCTGGATGTTCTTAAAGGGCGGGTTGTGCCAGAATATATTTACTGATATTTTAAACCGTTACAATATCAAATAAACAAATAGCTGTTTATGCACGATTTTATGATTGTTTTAGTGATTTTGAGGTGCAAATTTAGAAATGTTTGTAAGGAATTTTTAATGTATGATGTGAAATGTGATATTAATTATGGACTATAACTTGACATCAAGTAAGGCCGACTGACGCCCAATGTTTTTGTCAATAAATGTGCAGTAAAATCTGAATAAAATGTATAGATTTGTTGATTTTGTGTGAATTTTGCAGATTTGTGAAAACTTCTAGCAACTTATTGATGTAATTTGGAGTTTGTAGGGCCATATAAAAATCTACGGCGGGCCAGATTTGGCCCCCGGGCCTTAAGTTTGACGCGTGTGCTATAAGTGAAATAATTGCCTAGTGAACTATTATTTCATTTGAATTAAAATTTGATCTGAGAAACAAAAACAAGAAAAGAAACAGCAGATGATGAAATCTGAGAGATTAAAGCGTTAAATAGCCTCTTCTGAGAAGAAATGTTCAAAAAGAAATAATCATATAACATTATTTAATGCAAAAACATAGTCTTGCGCAAATATTGCCATAAACTTGAAATGAGACCAAACTAACAATTAACCTTTCAGCAAGATATAAGAGCTTGTTTAAAGTGAAAAGCTCCTTAATATTGATGAAAAAGTGCTACTTTGACTGGCAGATTATTAATAAATGTAAATGTCCCATGAAATAATTAGAAAAATTTCAATTATTTTCAAAGAAAAAAAATTATGATGCTATTATATTCTATATTTATACTTATTTTTTAATAAATAAAGGAAAATAATTGTTTTTTTAGGTGTCAATGTGAAAAGTTTGGGAATCCAGATGTGTTTTATCAATACTGAAACCTCATTGAGGTTTTAAACGACGCTGCATTAAATGCTCAGACAGGAAGTGATTCATTATTGCATTTTTCGCAGCAGCTGACCACGGAAATGATCAACGTGTTCCTGAAATCCCGTGATGAGCTCAGACTAAACCTTGCGTCCTGCTGTGCGCTGAGCCCTCCATCACTGTACAGCCGCATGTTTCAGCTCGGTCTGCATGAAAACGACCAGCTGTGCCTGCAGGGCCTTTAATTAGGTTTCCATCGCGCCCCCATGCGGTCGATGCAGCATTGATTTGATTTTCCCTTCAGAAGCTGCGGTGTGCTCGCGGAGGCCCGACGCCAGATGTCACACCAGGATCATTGGGTTACACAACCAGAGCCCCGCCCACTGCGTGAAAGCCCCGCCCACTCATTCTCTGCCCTGTAATCTCAGATCATAAAAAAAACAAACAAACTGCATTTGGATCATGCTCTCATACTGTGGCGCATTAGGAAAAAGGAGAAAAACTCAGACATTTCTGAGTTTGAAAAGTCAAACAGTTGCTAGAAAAAATATCTGAAATTTTTAGAAATTTTCAAAAAGTCAAAAATTAAAAAGGCAACACCATAGTAGATATAATTGATATGCACTTCAAATTTTATTGCAACTTTTTGTATTAGAATTAAAAATGATTTTACATAATTGACTGAAATCTATCAAGAGAATAATTAGTCAAAATTCTTATGAATACAATAGTTGATAAACAACACAATAAATCCCCACCTTTACCCACAGAATGATGCTACCACCATCTTTCATGTAGCAAGTCTGTCAGTTTTAACTTCTCTGACCAGAGGACATTTTTAAAGAAAATTGCACCACGTGTGTTTTATTTCAGCAAAATGTTTTCTTATTCTATAAAAGGTCAGATTTTGGCAAATAGTTTTAGTTTTGAGAGGTTATTGGCCCATCAGTTGGGCGGGCGGCCATGTTTTGGTGTGTTCTAATTATGTTCAGGAGTTTGATTGAAAATTGCGTTATTTCTCGTTCCTTCTCCTGCAGGCCACATGGTGGCGCAGTTCGTACTGTTGTCTTGCAGCAAGAAGGTTCCAGGTCTCAATCACAACCTGTGATCTTTCTAAATGGATTTTACTTTTTCTCCCAGTGCGTGGGCAGATCTTCTCCAGGTACTCTGGCACCAGCATGGAGGAGATGATTTTCCTGCCGCAGAACTTAATTTGTACACCAGGGGGCGCATGTGAGCAAAGCTCTTCAGCAGCTGAAGGTCTCAAACTCACCTGTTCAGGTCTGATACTGTTTTCCCCCGCTCTGCAAAAAAGCAATGACAGGTACTGGCCAGTTGTGATCCAACCCAATAGGACAAAAAAAAAAAAAAAAAAAAAAGAAAGTAAAAAATAATTAAACAAAACAACACAAAAACATAAAGACTAGATTTATGGAGTTTTTAAATAACAAATGTGATGGTGGTGGTTCAGATTAAACTTTAACTATCCCTGAATAAATCACAGAGGACAAATATTTAGCTACTTTATTTTGTGCAGTTTTTATTTATGCATTAAGCAAAGCTGTGTTATTCCACTCAAAATACAGAAACAAGGTTACGAGAAAAAAAAAACTTTTCTGCTTTGTGTTTCTACAGAGATAACAAGCAAATAATCAACATAAAATACGGTTCAACATTACTCTACACTTGTCTCGGCTCATTAGCACAAGGAGAAGAGCGTGCATCAGGCTGTAATGAAAGAAAAACATTCGCATTTTTTCTTCTTTTTTTTACATCAACCGACACTCTGAGGTTTTATTTATTTTTCTTAAGGTTCCTGTTTTGACGCTTGATGGAATGGATTATGAGGAACCTTCTGGGATTTTACAAAAGCTGAGACGTTTATCACAATTATACAGCAGAAAAATCGTGCAAAATTTACATTTTGCATGTTTTCATGCTTCTATTTGGATCTAAACTAATTTTAAAAACTTAAGTGCAAGGTTTTCTCCCAGAAAACTTTGTAAGCTCAGTTGGGTGCAAGGGCAGTCATTCATTCAGCGGCTTATTGTGTTTTTGAGTTAAAAATCTTTAAAGGTGACAGGAAATTGAAAAATATCACTTGATTATTATGTGCTATTGAAAGATTGTAAGATTAATACCTGAACACCAAAAATAATATCTTAAAGATGCAAACATTAAACAAAAAATTTAATACATAAGCAATACTTAGCCTGGCGGGGGCACAAGGAAAGCCTGGTAGCCCGCCAGGCTTATAATACACTGGGGGAAACACTGTTTCTTCCAGTGGTTTATTAACTTATTGCCGTTCTTTGGCAATAAGTTAATGTTTTAAGGTGTCTAGAAAATGAGCTGTTCCAAAAAACCTCCCAATTGTTAAGTCATATTCAACAGGTAACTGTATGTTATCTGGCAACCCCACCCCGTACCTATCAAATGAGCTCCAGCACATTTGGTCAGCTGGTTTTACCACTGTACAATGGCTCCTGCAAGAGAGAAATGTTTTATTGTTGATTTACCATCCAGAAAACACTGCATTTTGTGCAGGAGGCTCCACTTCTGCTTTTCAAAGCTACATGGTTGTATAACTGCCCATCCATTTGTTCTACAAGGAGCTCAAAACAGGCAGAATTATGTAAAACTGATTTTGTGCAACAAATGTGATGAACATCCCCTTTGAACCCTCATCTCCTGGAGACAAAGACAGAGTGTTTTAGACTCTCCTGATAAAATCTTACAAACATGAAGGTCTCCAACAAACGTGAAGCTAAGGTCTGCTGGGAGAACACTTTGCATCATTCCTCAGTTAAAATCTGATTTCTTCGGTCTCAAGAAGCACTCTTTCTCCTCATTGGTCTGCAGCCGGTGAAGCTCCTCCTCCAGCTCTCCGATTCGCTGCAGCATCTCCTTCCTCTCCGTCTGGGCCCTGAGCTCCGACTGGAACTCCACCTCCAGGATCTTCCTGGAGCACCAGCGCTCCAGCTGAGCCGACACGGCGTCAAAGAACTGCTGAGTCACCTAAAGTAAGAAGACAGCTTCAGTTAGTCAGCAGAATTTCACTGGCTGGTCCTGAAGGGCCGCTGTGCTTCATGTCTTAGCTGCTCCAGCAGATGTGATTCTGCTTTAGCTACTTCGCTTAAATACTACAAAAAATATGTTAATTATAATTTATTTAAGTGAGATGAGGTATCAATAAAGTACCGAAAACATGCAGAACATTGGGACCAGAGCAAAGACCTGCTGGGTTAGATCAACCATATCTATGTGTTAGAATGGCCTAGTCAAAGTCCTCATATGAATATGAAGTTCAAGTGGGGACTACAATTGCAACATTTTATGTTTTTAGCTGTTCTCACCCAAAATAATAAAAAAAAAACCCTGTTCCCCGCCTCACCTGTGGTGGCGCTGCAACAAGAACTACTGAAGAAAAGAAGAAGTAGAAGACATGCATGTAGCTTCTACTTTCGCTAAATGTAATCAAAAATGGAGTACCGTCAGATTTTAGTGTTGGTAGGATTTCACTTTTGTCTTTGATAAAAGACCATGAACAAATTCTCTTGCTAGCGCTAGACTTTTTACCCAGAATGCCCTGTGCTGTAGTCCACTTCCTGCTTTTGCTGTGGTTCACACATGCATTTGAACTGCAAGAGATTTCACTTCTATACAAGGTTTGGTTCAGTTGAAGTGAACTCTGGAGACCCCTGGAGGTCAGGAATCAGGAGGTGGGCGACGGCGCAAGGCATTCTGGGTAAATACCACCAAAACAAATGTGCAAGTCTGGAACTAGAGGGAAAAGTGGCTCATTGTCTTTTGCCAAAGACAAAAGAGAAATCATTCAAACAGTAAAATCTGACACCAGTCAGTTTTTTACATTTTGTACAGAAGGAAGTTGCCTTCATGTTTTCTTCTTCTTGTTGCAGCACCACCACAGGCGAGGAGGGGAACAGGTTTTTTAATTAGTTTGGGTCGTTTGAACACAGCGTAGTGAGAAAATAAACCACAGCAACTGAAAATGTAACAAACGTTGTAACTTTGGTCCTTTAATCGAACTGAATTCCCAATCTAAAATCAAATGGGAGTCTCACCTCCATGGCATGCAGGTGTTTCCTCTCCTGAATGAATGTGGGGTCAGCAGGTCGGTCCATGAGGAACTCCAGGACCATGGTGTCGTTTTTGGAGCTCCAGCCCTCTTCCTGTGGACCGGTGCTGGTGCTGCTGGAGGGTTTCTCGGAGTAATCTACAGAGAGAGGAAGGTTCTGCAGTACTGCTGGGAGCCAGGAGGGGGCAGAAGAGACTGTGGAGAGGTCCATTGAGCTTTCTAGGTTCTGGTTCTGATCTGTCATTGAGGAAAAGTAATTTATAGTTTTGTTGTTTTAAGTTTGTGCTCGTCTATGTGGTGCCGTTTGTAAAGTCACACAGTCAAAAATGTGTAACAACAATAATTTGGCCTAAAGTACAAAAAAGGAGGATTATTTTCCAAGATAATATTTTCGCCTTGGTATTTATTAATTTATAAATGTTACACGTACCTGCACACCTGTCCACCTTCATCTCGAAGTAGGTTCTGCTCCCGGTCGGTTCGGCCAGCCTCAAACGCTCAGATCCTCCGGGTGTCAGGGTGCTGGCGGACACACAAGGGCTGCTGTCTCCGGAAAACAGCAGCGGCACCGACTCCAGGTCCGTTTCTGCTGCGGACGGAGACAGCAGCAGGTTCTGGTAAACGGTCTCAGCTGGAACTGAGATGTCCAAGTCCTCCAGCAGAGACAGACACCAGCTCTTCAGCTCATATCTCAGAGCGTCCTGGAGACGGAGCAAAGAGCTGCTAAACGGCGTCACACCCAGGGGATCAGGTGCTGAACTGGGTCAGGTGATGGTACCTGGTTCCTCAGAGCTTCTGCTCGGTCCTGTGCTGCTCTCTGCTCCATCCTGGATGTGAGGCTCCTCCTCTCAGACGCTGCTTTCTCCTGGATCAACATCTCCAACTTCCTGAGCTTTTCAAAGAAACAAAGCAGACGAAGGCCTGAAAGCCTCACAATCTTTTGATTCTTCAGATTTTCATGGATTTGGTCAATCAGATTGACGCTGCGGTTACTCAGAACTGGGAAATTCAACTGGAATGGCGTTATGACTTGTAAGTGGACTTTGCGTTTCAATATGGCCGCTCCTCGCATCAAGTTTTAAGATGTGGTGGAAACGTATTTAATTAGAAGACACAAATGTAAAATGTTTCTAAAATTAATGTTTTAATACTTTGTTCTTGTAATCATATTTTTACATTTTATTAGCATTACGCTAACACTAATATAAAGTAAAACGATTTTCCTAAGAGCGACAGAAAACGTTTATGGACACAGCCATGTTGACATTCTGACCTCTTAACGTGAACGTTGTTACTTCGGTTCTGACGTCAAACCCAGATCCGAGTTCCCAATTCCCACGTCACTGAAATGCATCATTAGAGGCTAACCTGGTGTTTGTTGCGGCGCTCCATCCTGTCCATCTGGCTGTGCAGCTCCTCCTGGACATGCAGGATCTGCAGCCTCAGCTCCTGCTTCGTGGTCGTCAGATCGCCCTGCAGCTTCTTTAGGAGAGACTCGCAGATGCAGCCGCTGGCAGGAGCCTAGCAGGAAACAGAGATTTACTCAATCTTCTCCTGAGGAACCTGTAAGCTCTGAACTGGACTGGACCAACCTGCCGAACTCTGCCCTCCCTGTCTCTGTACAGAGTGTACAGCTGAAACGTTTTTCCACCCTCATCCCAGAACTCGTCCTTCTGCGATTTATTGTGTTTCCTTCCTGAGGCGAGATCTTCTGCATCCAGCTCCTGCAGAGACGTCAAAGTCTCACTGCTTGCAGGATTTGTGTCACAGTTGGGATTAGGAAGGGAGTTTACTCTCTGGGTTTTGGAAATTATTCCAGAGTCTCAAGTCAATTAAAGGAATGCAAGTCCAAAGCCTCAGAGCTGCAGTTTCCAATCTTCTGAGCTTCCCTATTACAGAACAACATTCTCCATTAACTCTTGGACTGAGCTCCTTCCGACTAGCCAGCAGCAATTAGCAAACACCAGGTAGAATTGCTGAACTCATGAAAGAAGCTATTTCTCAGTGAAACGTTGGTAAAAAAAAACATTGTTAAAGGGTTAATAGAGGAGCCACGTTGTGGTGATTTTCAGAAAGAGCTGGAATTTTAAAGAGGCAAAAGCCCAATTTCAAGGTGTTTAAATTACAAAGTCAAATGTACTTTTAAGTCATATTTTTTTACATATAGCATTTTTATAACTACTAAAAGTAGTGTGGTTATTTGATTGTGTTGTGAAATGACACAATGTGTCTGGAAAATATGTAATACTGCCAATTTAAAACTAAAATAATCAAATAGGCCTCGAGTCCAAGAGGTGAAACTGCTTTTTGTTCATCATTTTTCTCCTGAGTTTCTGGTTTCTAAGTCATTTGGCTCCAGCCTTATCGAAGTCATGTGACTCTAATCTGACTCCAAGTCGCTTGACTCTGATTTAACCGGATTCAGCTCATGACTCACCTCACCGCCTGATCTGGGTTCTGTTTGCTCCATCTTCAAGGCGCCGACCTGGAAACCAGAGAAAAAAAAAAACACTGCAAAACTCCTCAAATGATTCTGAACCTGATCTTAAACTTTCTGTTTCTTACTTTGGCGGGTCGAGTCGGCGGTCTCAGTCTGGGCTTCCTCATCGTCTTTCTCCTCATGTAACGTACCTGAAGGGAGGAACACTCGTTCTGGTGACATGTTTTGATTTAATATTGATGAATAAGTGAGTTAATGAACCTGAGGAACTTTGGAGAGCAGCAGAGCCACCTGTCTGCTCTGGTGCTCTCTGGCTTTATCCAGCGCTGTTTTCCCTGCCTGAAGGAGGAAAACATGTCAGCCAGGAAACACTTCAACTCTGACATGAGTTAAATGAATCACCTGGATTAGCTTCAGATGTTCCAACATTCTTCAGTTTAAGTTACCAAGTCAACTAAAGCTTACAAAATAACAAAAACTGAAGTTGAAAATAACATTTTCATTAACTGAAACAATTAAAAATGGTAAATAATGAGGGAAAACTATAAGTAACTGGAATTATGTCGTGTTTATAAAACTAAAACTGCTACTGTAGGTCGTAAATGCTAAACTAAAACTAAATCATATTTAACTAATAATGACTCATAAATACTAGTGAATTAATTAAAACTCGCTGAATTAGACATAAAAGTCATAATGAAGTAAAACTAAAGTATAATGAAAAAGTCTTACGTTGTTCCGGACTCTCACATCCAGACCTGCTGACAGTAAAAGCTGAACAGCTTTCCTGTGGTTCAGAGCTGATGCGACGTGAAGAGCTGTGTCTCCAACCTGCAGTCCAACAGAACCAGAACCAGAACCAAAGTAAGAAGAAAAGCATTTTATTGCCTACAATTAAATAGCATGGCATTCATTTAATGTAATGTTGACTATTAGTGCAATATATTTACAAAAAAAGGGTTATCTAATTTTCAAATACAAATATGTGTATTTTTAACTTAATTATTGCTCTGAATATGTTGTTCTTTCAGCAAATTGCCCGTTTGAGACTGCTCAAAAAAGGCCACTTAACAATTAATCGATTACTAAATTAGCAGAGGATGATTGCAACAATTTGATTGATGTTGAATTGTCTGTAAGTGTCAGGAAGAAGGCATGCTGTCACCTGGTTGGTCTCATTCAAGCGGCACCGCGACCTCAGCAGGATCTTCAGCAGGTTCAGGTTGTTGTAGCGAGCAGCCACATGCAGACAGGAATCGCCCACCTGAAGCAGGAGCACTGGTTTTATTTGACTGGGACGACTGGAAACAGAACGCTTCTTTTGTTGACCTGAATCATTTTATTTTTTATTTATATATATATTTTTTTCAAAATGGAGCATTAGGCAGCTCTAGTAGCCTCAGACTGCTACACAAACAAACTCATCATAAGGGAGAAAAGGGGGAATTAAAGCTGCAATATGTAACTTAAGTGCTATATGCATATTTGCAAAAACATTTACTGTTGTGACAGTATCGTATGAGACATATAAACTGTGAAGAAATCAAATCCAAACAACCAATCAGAGTCAGGAGGACGGTCTTAGAGCTGTCAATCAGGCTTGTACATGCACTGCTCAGCAGTTTAAATCTTCTCATTCCCATAAGTGACATATTTCTGGCTTTTAATGATTTGCTAGATATGTTGTCTTTTCCCACCTTGTTCTTGGCGTCGGGATTCGAACCTCCGAGCAGCAGCAGCTGAGCAGTAGCAGCGTGTGCGTTCTGGCAGGCCAGGTGAAGGGCCGAGTTTCCCGCCTGAAACACTCAGAACAAACCGAGACCTGAACCCTGGGCGGTCAGTTCAGTTCCTGCTGCAGGTAGAGATCAGAAATCACTTCACATTCGGCCTGAGAGGCTCTGCAGGAATAAGTGAGGATGATTGGTGGGTTTATTTCGGTCAGAACAAACCCCCGCTGATTGGCAGGTTAATTTAAGAACAACTGCATTAAATTGGTGTTCTGCTGGTCCAATCAGAGGCTCAAGTAACAGAAATGTCAGATCATAAAGGTCTTGACTTTATTCAGTATATCATTACACAGTCATGGAATTATAATCTCTGCAAACTGGAAACAAGATGGATGTTTACCGAACTCTAAAACTTCAGACTCAGGAGCTGATCCGGTATATTTTCCAGCTTTTTCCCCCTTCAACAATAGAGGCTTTGTTGTGGAAATCTCAGAGTTGAAAATTCAGTCTCTCTGTCTCTGCTGAGATGAGTTTTCCTCTAATTACCTTGTTCTTGACGCGCACGTCAGCGCCAGCCTTAACGAGCAGTTTGACGCACTGTGTGAATCCGTGCCAGGACGCCTCATGGAGCGCCGTGTTTCCAAGCTCAAACAAACAGAACACGGCAGTCAGAATGGAGGAACGTGATCTGTAGCACTAAACACTGATGATCAGAACTTACCGGGTCCTGCAGGTCCACAGCGCAGCCCCCAGCGATCAGAGCGGCCATGGTCTCGCTGTTCCCCACCATGGCGCTTCGGTGCAGAGCCGTCTGATACCTGGACATCTGAAACCAAAACCGCCACACTTCTAAACCTGATGCACGTCAAAGATTTCACAGTAAATTACGTTTATAGATGATAACCAGATGCACACATGAGTTTATGCACCTGGAAGACAAAACTGTGTCAAAATGTTTGTGGCTTTATATAGCTTTAAAAGGGATCTATTACTCAAAATTAATATTTTGCACATTTTTCTTTTGAATTTGCTGCAAATTGCTAAAAAAAAGGTCATGACCTTCTGCCTAACAGTTTTAAAAATCCAAGTTGTGCAAGTTCAAAGATGTCAAAGTCAGTGGATAAGTGTAAAATTGATTCAGCACGCGGTCCTTAGACGTTTCCTGTCGATTCAAACAGTTAGTATTAAATATTCAATCTGCAGAAACTCATAAGTGTCCTCCAAACCTTTGAATGGACCACTTCATCGCCTCCAGGTCTGCAGTGGACCACCTTCATGTGAGGAGAGTTTTCTACTCCCTGTTGTCACAGAAACATATAGCACATTATTATTTTCCAGGAAAAAAAGGACGGAAATTTGAGATAGAAGTCAGAAAACTGAGCATGAAGTAAAATTTCTTAGGTTAAAGTTGGGATTCTGAAATTAAAGTCATAATATCTAAAAGACAAAATTCTGTGAAAATAAAAATCTGAATTCTGAGGAATTAAAAATCGGAATCTAGAGGTGAAAGTCAGAATTCTAAGAAAGAAAATCAGAATTCAGAGAAATAAGTCAGAATTTGGAGGAAAAAGTCAGAATGCTCAGAAAACAAAATTCTGGGAAATAAAAGTCAGAATTTTGAATAAAATGTGAGAATTCTGAGATCAAACTCGTAACTCAGAGAAAGAAAATCAAGACTTTCAGGAAAATCTCAGAATTTAAAGTCAGAAGTTTGGGGAAGAAAATCTAAAATTTGAGGAAGAAAATCAGAATTTTGAGGTTAAAGTCAGAATTCTGAGAAAAATGTCAGAATACAGAAATTAAAGTCATAATTATAAGAAAGAAAATCAGAATTCAGAGAAATAAGTCAGAATTTTGAGAAAAAAAACAAAACTCTGGGAAATTAGAATCAGAATTCTGAGATTAACTTCAGAATTTTGAGAAAGACCATTCTGAGATTTAAAACAAAATTCTAAGGAAAAAAATCAGAATGTTGAGAAAAATTACAGAATTGTTTTTTCCCTGTAGAAAAAAAGTGAAGTGACGTTAAATTTCAAATTAGACTGAAGCAGACTTTTTGTATTAATATTTTAGTAGATGTGTGGAATCCATCTCAATGAAGGCGTCACCTCAGATGAACTCAGCGTGCAAACCAAGTTCTCCACGTCTGAAGATCTGACAGAGTCTCTGCTGCAGAACGCCGCCATTCAGCCGCTGCACCTGCAGGAGAAAGAGAAAAATGAGAAATAATCTCTGAGCAAACCAAGAAACGGTGGAAAGAGAAGAGAAAAACTCTGTGAAAGCCTAATGCTGTAAATGTTCTGCAAGAGGCTGAGATTCTGCTGGTCAGACCCTTTAATCTTCCTCTTCACATCAGAAATATAAAGGATTTCAGAGCTGATGGTCAGAATGAGCCTTTAATCCTGGACATGTCTCCAAACAGAACAAAGTCGTGAGTAATCCCTCTGTTGTCTCTGTTGTTCTCTGTCATCTCTCTGGGTGAGTCCATTTTATTGGACTTTTTCTTTTTTTTTTTTTCTACCTTTATATTGATGTAAACAATACAAACAAGACCAGAACAACAGGTGAAAAGTGCAGAAATATAATCAAACTAACCCCAGTGTGGGGCATTAATTATGTAAAGAATGATATGTGCATTGATTGATATGGTAAATCCAACAATAAGATATTTTATTTCTGAGGTTTTCATTGTACTTTTCACAGAGGTGAGGCTCACATGTTTTGTTTAAGTTCTTTCTGCTGTTTCTAAAAGTCATTCTCCGGTCATAAAATCAGCGAGTTGAGAGTGAAATTGAGCAATTGTTAAGTTGGAGAGGAAATGACTTAAAATTCAAACGAAATCATTCCTGTTTCCATAATGTCAGTGAACGCCTCATCCCTTAACAGCAGCCAAAACTTTAAGGCGAAGTCATTATATTTCATACTTCAGCTCGAGTTAAAGAAGAAAATCACGAAACTTTTGCATAATTCCACCCTAAACGATGTGTCTAAGAGTTAGGATTGAGAATGTTGGCTTAAATTCCTGCAAACCCCTCAGGATTTGCAGAAGAATCAGAAACTGTTGAACAGAATAAGTCAGAGGAAGCTGATTTACCTGATCCTGCACAGAGACGGCCGATTCGTCGGCAGGAAAAAGGAGCATCAGTTTTTATTTTAGAAGAAACTTTTTCTGCCGGTTGTGTTGAGGATCAGCATCAGTTGCAGCATCAGTTGCAGTTGCAGCAGCAGCGGATCACTCACTGAGAGGAAGACGCGCAGAGACGCGGACAGATGTCACAGCGCAGGGCAGATTAAAGGAGGAGGAGGGGGGACTTGCACCGGTTTTAATGGGAGGAGAAACCTTTAAAAGACTCAATCCACGTTTAATCTGCTCAATCTGAGCCTCTACACATGCAGGGAAAGTTTTATACTCCAACAATTAGCGGAGGGAGCGTTTGATTGGTTTCGGGCGTGACGTCAGCGAAACGCCACAGAAGAAACTGTGACGTTTCTTCTGTGACGCTACAGAAGGGAACCAGATTCTCATTGGCTGATCATCATCATCATGGTCATCATCATCATTAATATCATTGGCATCTTCATCATCAGCAATATCATCATCATCATCATAACAAGTATCATCATCATCATCATCATCATCATCATCAATGCCATTATTGGAATCATTGCCATCTTCATCATCAGCAATATCATCATCATCATCATCATCATCATCATCATCATCATCATCATCATCATCATCATCATCAATGCCATTATTGGAATCATTGCCATCTTCATCATCAGCAATATCATCATCATCATCATCATCATCATCATCATCATTAATGCCATCATCATCATCATCATCATCATCATTAATATCATTGGCATCTTCATCATCAGCAATATCATCATAATCATCATCATAACAAGCATCATCATCATCATCATCATCATCATCATCATCATCATCATCATCATCATCATCATCATCATCATCATCATCATCATCATCAATGCCATTATTGGAATCATTGCCATCTTCATCATCAGCAATATCATCATCATTAATGCCATCATCATCATCATCATCATCATCATCATCATCATCATCATCATCATCATCATCATCATCATCATCATCACCAGTATCATTTTTATCGTCATTGTAACTAAGACAATTCTCATCAACCACATCATCATCATCATCATCATCATCATCATCATCATCATCATCATCATCATCACAGCTCAGTGTTGATGTTATTTTTGCAGAAACTGCTAAATTCCCATTCTCTCTCATGCCTGAGTTTTTTCTTTGTAAAGCTGTGACTAAATTAAACATGTCTCCCAATAGAAACAACATAAAACTCGTCCACGGATGCCAGCTGGGTGAGCAAGGTTCGTGCTGCTTTACTATTTTCCAGAGATGTTCTCTGTCAGATTTAATCTGCTGCACAGCTCCCTGTGAAACTCCTCTGACAACTGATTTTTCTTTCAACAGAAACTAATCCCTTGTTATTCTGCAGACTGTGGCTGAAAATGCTTCGGACTGAACGTTCTTTAACAAACCAAAGCAACCCGCGAGTTGCTGTTTGTAAAGTTACAACAAAAAATTGACAGCAGTATTTTGATTCTTTTTAGTTTGTCATAAAGAAAAATATGTGGGTTTTGATTTTTCAGTTGTACTTTTAGCATCTTATTCCTACATTTTTAATTGTCAGATTTCCAAACTAAATGTTAAGTTAAATATTTAGCTTTCAAAATTAATATTAAGCTCGAAAGCTAATTTTCCTAAAGATATTTTGTTCCAAATTAAATGTCAATTTTGCAAACTAAATGCAAAAAACCCCCCAAATATGACCATTCACTGTTCCTAACAAAATCACCATGGACTGAATTTTCAGTTATGAGTTAAATATTTAGCTGGCAACATAAATATTTAGTTTAGCAAATATTTATCAAACAAAAGTCTGGGCTAAATATTTAGCTCAGAAAATAAATATTTGAGTTGGAACTAAATAATATTGTTTTGAAAAATAAACACCCAGTTTTTTTTCTCTATAACAGACTGAATAAACCAAATTATGGCTGTTTTTTTATTTTATTTTTTATTTTATTACTGTGACTTTTCAAAGGCACCCAATGTGTTTACTGTGCTAAACTAAAACATTTTCTGAGGAAGAAGGAATTCTTTCTAGGTTGATAGTCAGGTTCTGGTGTTATTTTGCCGGACTTTCTGCCTGCAGAGTTCTGATCCGATAATGAATCCACACCGACACACTGAGTTTTAGTTTCTGGGATCTCTGCAGCTAAACATTCACATCAGTTTTGATGGAAAACTGTCCCAGACTGCAGCCCAGAGTGCATCGGGTCACATGACGGCGGTTTGATCTCCCAGAGTGAGCGTGCACGCCCACGTGCATGCCATCTCTTCCTTTCCAGGTCAGATTATGTAATCGCCGCTGCTGCTGTCAGCATTACAATGTGTTACATAAGACAATTTGATGTTCGGGGCTATAATCCGGCTGTGCTGCCTGAGCGCTCCCACATCTGGGATTTCCAGCTCATCCTGAGCTCTGCACTCGCCTTACTTCCTCGGAGATTTTCCCCGGGTCACAGAGGGGGACCTAATGGCAGGAAGGATGGACATAACCAGTTCTTGCCTCCAATAGGATGTTGGAGTTTGTCTCTTTGTCCTGAGATAAATTACATGCAGAGTTTTGAAAATCTGCGTGTAATTTATCAGAGCAATTCCTGCTGATTTAGTTAGACATAATGAGGTGTTGTTTACATTACCTTAAAACCGAAAGAGCTCACAAAACAGACAAGAGTGGATGCATAAAATAATTAAAATGATATGACGTGCATTGCTAAATGACTTTCTGTTTAAGTAAATCAAAAGAAGTATGAAACGTTATGCAACATTTTTCACCGCAAGCAAAGATTTGCTCTCATTCAAATTCAACCAGGGGCTCATTTTGGGTCAGAAACTTTCATTGTTTAGTTTGTCACACTTTAAAACACGTTTGTCTCTAATCTAACACTGTGTGTCACCCTGAGAACAACATCCTCACTGTGAAACATAGTAAAGGCAGCATGATGCTGTGGGTTGGGTGAACGTTTTTTCCTAAAAAGGCCACGCTATAGTTTTGACTTTAAAGTTGTATTCAGTTTGACAAAAAGCAAAACTGGCTGTTTGGATTGGAGAGGTGTCATGTTTTTGATTTACGGGTATCAGACTAATGGGGATGAATACAAAATATATGCCACATTTTTCAGGTCTTATGTGCAAAAGAGCTTGAAAACAATGCATTCATTCCTTTGATTTCACAGTTATGCCTTACTTTGTGTTGCTGATTAAATCTTTATGCGTTTATGAGCCATACATTAAAGCTTCATCATTTCTACATTTCTTGTCAATAATGTCAGAGAGCAAAACTCGTATATATTGTAGAAATACCTTTATTTTTGCCATTATTATAGTTCGCAAATAATGAAAACCCCAAATTAGAATATCGTGGAAAAAGATCTAGCATACTTATTGAAAGTTGAGTGGAAGGAAAAAGTGTGTTAGGAAAATGTTAATGAAACTCTATTAAATAATTTGAGGGATTTTTATTAAGAGTGAACTGAGACTGAATGAAATCAGGTCTGAAAACTTAAATCTGAAGATGAAGTTTTGAGGTTTTTAGGAGAAACATTCCAGACAGGAAGTGCTGTTTGAGTGTTTTTTCCATCACTGATTATAGAAACAAGAACATTTTTGGCTCAATGTAACTCTTTTCTGCTTGTTCTGTTTGGTTCTGACCAACCTGAAAAAAACAGTGTCAGTAACTGAAACATGTTCTGTTTGCTTTCCTCTGCAGGGTCATTGGTACCATGTGGACCCAAATCACCTCCAACTGTCCTGAAACTGTCACACCAGCTTCTCCTTTGTTCTCTGAATTCAGAGAAAAACTCTGAGGGATTTCCGAGACAGACACGGCACATGTTGGCGCCACGGGTCCCGAGTCGTTCAGCCTCACATCTGTTGCCGCTGTTAAAGATGCAGAGGAGGAGGGAGCGGTTTGGGGGGAAGGAGGTCTGTTGACTCTGATTCTTTATTTTTTAGACTTAACGGTCATTTTACTCTGATCCCAGATGGAGTTAAGCATGATCTGAAATAGAAAAGTATGATCCGAACTTTGTGACGTGATATTAAACTAATCTGCAGAGGTTATTGTCACTTTGAGTCTCAACACGTTTAAATTAATTAACAACCATCAACCCACAGGGAAGAGGTGTTTAATTACCCAGCAGCAGGTCCCAACATCAGGACCCGAAACACATCTGGACACAGTCTTCAAAACAGCAACACAAACTGGAAGGACACGAGTTTGACTTTTTATTTTTGTAAATCTAATAGATTTTGTGAGCCGAGTCCAATGGACTATCAGGTGTGTGTGAAACACACTAAAAATCTATTCAGGACCATTTGATTTTATGTCTGCGAGCTACACAGAGCTACTTAAGGAGATATTTAATAGCACACAGACATGTTCAAAATCCATTCAGGAACACCTGAACACATTCAGAATAGATTAAAAACATGTTCAGGATGAAACAATCATATTCGGTACATATTTAGGACAACAGGCACCAACCAATTCAGGTCACAACAAAGACAAGACACAAAGAGGGATAAACAGTAGTAAGTTAATTCAAGTTTTCTTTGTATATTGCAATTTTTGAAATGGAAGTCCTTCGGTTATTCTTTTCAATGTTTCTCCAGTTTATTAAAGTTATTCTGCATGCAATTCACTTTTTTAAAACTCTTTTTAGAGAAAAGGAGTTTTTTCCGTCAGTCCTTTCCAACAAGCCTGAATGCTTCAGTTTATTTCTGTTTGTTCGTTCATAAACTTTGACATTTAGCCTGCTACCTAAGGCCTGTAAAGTCTGAAATTAAGCTCGTAGTTTTTTCTTCTGATGGTCTGATCTCAAGGTCAGAAGACTCCTGGGAAGATTGGCAGCTGTCTTATTGTTTTATGTTTGAGAAGGGATTGAAGTGTGGAGCTTTGACGTCTTTAACGCCCTTTTAAGAAGTGACATGATGTAAGACGACTGCAAAGAATCATCCAGATGATTCAGAAATTATTTATACTGTTACGTAACAAGTTTCTCTAAAAGAATCCAAAAAGTTACTGACAAATCTTTAAGCTCTTCTGCAGGTTTTCTTTTCTGTCTATTTGAGATCAAACTTTTGTTTTGAGCCTGTAAACTGAATGCTGATTACCGTCAAACTGGGCTGCAGGGTTTAATTTAAAGTTGTGTTTGCACCCAGCTAAGTTCATTAGGTGAGCTGGACCTTTAAATATTTAAGTACATCTATA